CCACGGTGTATACGCTTAACGGCGCAGTGGCCTAATCGCTAGAACATCTGTCTCATACACTGGGATTCCAGGTTCGAGTCCCAGCTGGGGAACTAATTTGCAGGTCTTCCCTATACAGGGGGCTGTTATATCATCTCACCTCCCTCACAGCAGTAGCTAAGTCTTCCTATAGAGGGGCTGTTATATCATCTCACCTCCCACACAGCAGTAGGTAAGTCTTCCCTATACAGGGGCTGTTATATCATCTCACCTCCCTCACAGCAGTAGGTAAGTCTTCCCTATACAGGGGGCGTGTTATATCATCTCACCTCTCCTCACAGCAGTAGGTAAGTCTTCCCTATACAGGGGGCTGTTATATCATCTCACCTCCCCACACAGCAGTAGGTAAGTCTTCTCTATACAGGGGGCTGTTATATCATCTCACCTCCCCTCACAGCAGTGGTAAGTCTTCCCTATCTTACAGGGGGCTGCTTATATTCATCTCACCTCCCCTCACAGCAGTGGTAAGTCTTCCCTATAGAGGGGGCTGTTATATCATCTCACCTCCCCACACAGCAGTAGGTAAGTCTTCCCTATACAGGGGGCTGTTATATCATCTCACCTCCCCTCACAGCAGTAGGTAAGTCTTCCCTATACAGGGGGCTGTTATATCATCTCACCTCTCCTCACAGCAGTAGGTAAGTCTTCCTATACAGGGGCTGTTATATCATCTCACCTCCCCACACAGCAGTAGGTAAGTCTTCTCTATACAGGGGGCTGTTATATCATCTCACCTCCCCTCACAGCAGTGGGTAAGTCTTCCCTATACAGGGGCTGTTATATCATCTCACCTCCCACACACAGCAGTAGGTAAGTCTTCCCCATACAGGGGGCTGTTATATCATCTCACCTCCCCACACAGCAGTAGGTAAGTCTTTCCCTATTACAGGGGGCTGTTATATATCTCACCTCCCCACACAGCAGTAGGTACAGTCTTCCCTATACAGGGGCTGTTATATCATCTCACCTCCCTACACAGCAGTAGGTAAGTCTTCCCTATACAGGGGCTGTTATATCATCTCACCTCCCCACACAGCAGTAGGTAAGTCTTCCCTATACAGGGGCTGTTATATCATCTCACCTCCCCACACAGCAGTAGGTAAGTCTTCCCTATACAGGGGGCTGTTATATCATCTCACCTCCCCACACAGCAGTAGGTAAGTCTTCCCTATACAGGGGGCTGTTATATCATCTCACCTCCCCTCACAGCAGTAGGTAAGTCTTTCCTATACAGGGGGCTGTTATATCATCTCACCTCCCCTCACAGCAGTAGGTAAGTCTTCCCTATACAGGGGCTGTTATAATCATCTCACCTCCCCACACAGCAGTAGGTAAGTCTTCCCTATACAGGGGGCTGTTATATCATCTCACCTCCCCACACAGCAGTCAGTAAGTCTTCCCTATACAGGGGGCTGTTATATCATCTCACCTCCCCACACAGCAGTAGGTAAGTCTTCCCTATACAGGGGGCTGTTATATCATCTCACCTCCCCACACAGCAGTCGGTAAGTCTTCCCTATACAGGGAGCTGTTATATCATCTCACCTCCCCACACAGCAGTAGGTAAGTCTTCCCTATACAGGGGGCTGTTATATCATCTCACCTCCCCACACAGCAGTAGGTAAGTCTTCCCTATACAGGGGGCTGTTATATCATCTCACCTCCCCACACAGCAGTAGGTAAGTCTTCCCTATACAGGGGGCTGTTATATCATCTCACCTCCCCACAGCACGTAGGTAAGTCTTCCCTATACAGGGGGCTGTTATATCATCTCACCTCCCCACACAGCAGTAGGTAAGTATTCCTATACAGGGGACTGTTATATCATCTCACCTCCCCACACAGCAGTCAGTAAGTCTTCCTATACAGAGGGCTGTTATATCATCTCACCTCCCCTCACAGCAGTAGGTAAGTCTTCCCTATACAGGGGGCTGTTATATCATCTCACCTCCCCTCACAGCAGTAGGTAAGTCTTCCCTATACAGGGGGCTGTTATATCATCTCACCTCCCCCACAAGCAGTAGGTAAGTCTTCTCCTATACAGGGGCTGTTATATCATCTCACCTCCCCACACAGCAGTAGGTAAGTCTTCCCTATACAGGGAGCTGTTATATCATCTCACCTCCCCTCACAGCAGTAGGTAAGTCTTCCCTATACAGGGAGCTGTTATATCATCTCACCTCCCCACACAGCAGTAGGTAAGTCTTCCCTATACAGGGGCTGTTATATCATCTCACCTCCCCTCACAGCAGTAGGTAAGTCTTTCCTATACAGGGGCTGTTATATCATCTCACCTCCCCACACAGCAGTCGGTAAGTCTTCCCTATACAGGGGACTGTTATATCATCTCACCTCCCCTCCCGCCGCTACCGCCGCCGCCGCCGCCGCCGCCGCCGCCGCCACCGCCGCAAACCACTGACACGCGATTGGTCATTTTATATATTCATTATGCCTCTATTGCGAAGGCCTCGACTTTTGCTCGCCTTCCTGCCCCCCCCCCCATTCGATAGTCAAACACGGGTCGAGTGACGTCATTAAACCCCATCGGTTATGTTCGATGATCATTTCATGCAGTTTCCGTATTTCCTATATGTATATATATATATATATAATATATGTGATGGTGTGTGTGTGTGTTTTGTGTGTGTGTGTGTGTGCGTGTGCGTGCGTGAGTGCGTGTGCGTGTGTGTGTATGTATGTATATATATAATTATTAAAATTTCCCTACGGTGTTTCATTTCAGAGTTGAATCCGTACAAGCCGGCGTCTGACAGACGCTTTCGTCACAACGTAGGTCCGTTAGTCTACTACCGACGATAATCCCTCGATCATCTTCTAGTGTATCACGTGCTACCATCTGTCGTCAAATTTATCGAGAATAATGCGATATATGACTATATGCATAAACATTAATAATACCAGGTGGTGATTGTGGTGCGTATGCGGATAAAAACCTTTACGTCAACATAGCAGATGTAAGGTTGACTAATTGTGGCTTTATTCTTTACGCGAATGTGTTGAGTACATTCGGTGAACTAAAAGGAATACAAACACAAAGAACTGTCATTATAACAAACTAAACAATTTTGACATGACTTTGCAGCTAACTACTATTTAGCCTAGTTAAATTGCCGTAATCTAAT